TCACCAGGTGCCCAAAGCAATTTGTACATATTTCAATGAAAGAATTTATAACAATTTCATTGTAATTTTTGAATTAAATGCCTCTTCCACTTTAAAGGCTTCAAGGACCATTTCTTATTCCTCTTTGGTACAAGGCATCTAGCACACTGACATACAGTCAATGCACAATAACTATTTGTTGAATGAATGAGTGAAGGAGTATATGAATAAAATATTTTTCTGACATGTAGACTTTCTAGTTCCATAATAATCACAATCAGGTTGTTCACAGTTAAGTTTCTCTAGAAAGATGTTTCAAATATATTCCACATTTCAACAACCAGGTAGTACTAATTCTTTTTTTTTTTCTGCTTTGTGAAGGCCTGAAAACTCAAATTCTAACTTCAAAGAAAATGGTAAAGTTGGAAGAATTTTGGGATGGATGGTGGCTTATTTTTAATGCCAAATGAGCATTTTGAAGCATAACATCTTTGGCCATAAGCTTTGTCCACTGATACCAGACCATTCCAGGAAATGACAGTTCAAATAAACAGTTTAAAGCCCAGTATACCACAAATACAAAAACAGTATTCAACAGCATTTCACAGCAAATAGCCTGTTGACAGTCATTCAGGAATGACTGATTATAGTTGCAAAGCACAAACATCTCTTCTGTTAGATTAATTGAATATAGATTTAGCTGATGGCTTGGGCAAAAGAGTGAATCTGTAAGAGTAGTGAAAGAAAAGAACAAAGGAGAAGAGACAAGAGGATAAATCTTAGAACAATATTCCTAAATATCAGAAAGCCCCACTGGAGCCACACTTCAAATTAACAAGGCCCACTGAGGGACCTTGACACGCATGCTGTATGACATATCGCCCAAGGAGCAGCAGCGAAAAGGAGTCTCGTTTTGTTGGAAAAAGAGGGTGCCACAGAGCTTTCATATTGCACCAATTCAACAGTTTGGGATCCATGTAATTAAGTAATATAATTATGAACCCATTTCTTGACCTCTAACCCAAAGTCCTATTTCTTACGTAAGTATATCAGTAATTGTCACATCGAACTCATGCCACATGCTGGACCCAGTTCTTCATATTAAAACACATATGCAATTTATAAATAGAAAGCCACAATGTAATTTAAATTTAAAATGAAAGAGTAAGACTCAAAAGGTGCAATCACAGGAAATGAAGTGAACAGTGGGGGCTGGGCATTCAAACTTAAGCAGTAAGTGGGAGCAGGAAATGACCAGGAGCAATTTAGACTCTTGAAACTGGAAAAAAGTGAAGGAGTCACTAGATTTCCATCATACCAGGGATGGCGAATTAAATAGTAAAGGGAAAGGATACTTAGGGATACCATAGCAGCTAGCCCTAGAGTTATATCAGTATAACTAACATATTACGTGCAGAGGCAAATTATCACTAATGGGGGTGGGGTTAAAAAATTATCACCCTCCCTTACATAAAAAATGTGGTACTGTCAGAATCATGCTTATTAAATAATAAAAGTTAACATTTATTAAGTACTTGGGTTGGTCAGGCACTGTTCTAATTGCATTATGTGAATATATTAATTTTCAAAGCAACCCTATGAGATAGGAACTATTATTATCCCATGTCACAGATAAAAAAACTGAGACATAGACAGGCAAAGTAACTTGCTTAAGGCCACAACTAGCTAGCAAGTTGTCTAGCTGGGATTTGAACTGACAGTCTGCCATGCATGCTGCTTCTTAAGACCTACTCGAAAGAAATATTACTTTTTATTTTAGAGTTTTATTCATATATTTACATAGGTTTTCAGAAATCTCTAAGAATTAAGCCCTGAACTGAAGGAGACTGATTACTGGCTATCAAAAGCAAGTAAGTCAGTGTACTTCCAGAGCTGGAAAAGATACATGGTGCTTGACATTTATCCATGCAATTGAATTCAACTCAATTAATAGTGATTTAGAGTTCCATGCTGAGTACTAAAGAAGTAAGATTCAAAGCCTAGAGAAGACACAATTTTTATTCCCACTTAAAGCAGCTAAAATACTCTAGAAGCTTACAGTTGAATACTGATGAAGAAAATGGAGCTCAGAGAGTTGAAATGACCTGTCTGAGGCCAAAAAAAAAAAAAAAAAGTAGTTTGTGGCACACAGTGACCTAAAATCCAATTCAAACAGGTACAGTTTTCTTTGCACTCTACTTCTAGGCTTCCAATCAAGCTGATTGAACAAACTGAAATAAAATTAACTTCCAAAATAATTATCGTATATCTTAGAGTGAGGGAAATGTTTTGGTATTTGCCTGCCTCATCTCTACCATCCAATTCATTCCAGAATGAATACTTAAAGACAGAGGGAACCGATAGTCAAGGGAATATTTTTTAAGGGAAGGAAGAGGATGAAAGAATTCACATATAAAGTCTCCCAGATCTTCTCTGAAGGAATGTATGTTTTTACAGTTTTATGTGCTGCACAATTTATCTCTCTCAAACCTTACCCAATTCGAAAAGCAGACTTTGAAATTATGCCTGTATTGATAACTATGTGTATAGGTACATGTGTACGCCTCCCACACTATTCTAAGTGACTGAAGAGCTTTAAACCTCTAGGTATCCCCAGCTTTTACAAAATGCTTTCACATAGTAGGTGCCCAGTTTGGTAATGATGTTAAAGGAATAAGTATATACAATATAAGGCTTCCAGTTAGATTTCTTTAAAAAATCAGACCCTGTATTTAGGTCTCTTAAGAGTTTTTTTATTGGTTTATTTTTCAGGGGCAATTTTATGCCCCCCTCACCCCTGACCTTCCAGGGGACATTTGGCAATGTCTAGAGACAATTTTGGTTGCCACAACTTGGGGGGAGATGGTGCTACATGTATCTAGTAGGCAGGGGCCAGAGATGCTGCTAAACATCATACAATGCACGGGCCCCATGACAAAAAAATTTCCAGCTCAAATGTCAATATTGTCAAGGTTGGAAGACACTGGCTTATTTTAGAAGAAAGAAAGAAGGAGAAAGGAAAGAAAGAAAAGAAAGAAAGAAAGAAAGAAAGAAAGAAAGAAAGAAAGAAAGAGAGAGAGAGAAAGAAAGAGCACAACTACCTTTCCATTTCTCTATTTTTAAAACACAAGTAAGACATAAATCAAAATGGTAAACCAAAAGTTTTTTCTAAGCAAGACAATTTCAGCAATCTACCTTAAGAGAAACAATTATTTCATGGGCTGGTTTACGAAATTAGAAGGGTTCATTAAAAGTTGAAAGAAAAGCATAAATTTAAACACATATGTACTTTAAGCAATGGAAAGCCTTCACAAAAGGGACTATTCTGATCTTGACTACATCTGAAACTGAGATTACAGTAATCAAATGACACATTCTGCAGATGAGACATATTAAAACCACCACTTGTCTTCTGATTCAGACATACAGCTCTCACTTCAGATTGTTTCATTATTTCTAACTTCGCTCAAAATACACCTCTTAGACAAGCACATGAAGAGGAAATGCATGTTTTTTTGTTTGCAAATAAGGTCATCAAAATAAACTGCTTTCACTATTAGCTCTGCCCTTTTATGCCTGCCTGTCTTCCCCATGTCTAGATTTACCTGGAAGGTACAATATTTAAACCTGGATTCCTTATTGTAGCTAAAGGAATCATTCCTTCAGTCCCGTGTTGCTCTTCTGTCATGAAAAGACAACTGTAGTAAAGCTATCCTAACAGTTTGATAATGTCTTTAAGGTGAACCAGAATTCAAAAAATTGAAGAGGAAGGAACGCTTCCAAACTCATTCTATGAAGCCAGCATTACCCTGATACCAAAACCGGACAAAGGTATTATGGAAAAAAAAAATCACAGGCCAATATCCTTGATAGATATAGATGTAAAAATTCTCAACAAAATATTAGGAAACTGGATTCAACAATACCTTAAAAGGATTATACACCATGACCAAGTTGGATTCAACCTAAGGTGGCAAAGATAGTACAAAATCCATAAATCAATCAATGTGATACATCACATTAACAGAATAAAGGATAAAAACCATATGATCATCTCAATAGATACAGAAAAAAACATGATAAAATTCAGCATCCTTTTATGATAAAAACTCTCAATAAAGTGGGTACAGAAGGAACATATCTCAACATAATAAAAACCATATATGACAAACCCAGCTAATATCATACTCAGTCGTGAGAAACTGAAAGCATGTCCTCTAAGATCAGGAACAGGACAAGGATGCCCACTGTTGCCACTTCTATTCAACATAGTATTGGAAGCTCTAGCCACAGCAATCAGACAAGAAAAAGAAAGAAAAGGCATCCAAATTGGAAAGGAAGAAGTAAAACTGTCATTACTTGCAGATGATATTATACTATATATATAGAAAACCCTAAAGACTCCACCAAAAAGCTATTAAAACTGATAAATGAATTCAGTAAAGTAGCAGGATACAAAGTTAATACTCAGAGATTGGCTGCATTTTTATACACCAATAACAAGCTATCAGAAAGAGAAATTAGGAAAACAATCCCATTTACAACTGCATCAAACAAAATGAATAAACAAAACAAAACAAAAACAGAACTGTAAATATAGAGAACAATTTGATAGTTGCCAATGGGAAGAGGGTTGGGGGGATAAAAAATACAATTAAAAAAAAGATGAACAAGGAAAGGGAAACAGGGGGAGCTGTTGGTTTTTCTTCGCATTTGGTCAGTTTCTTGACTGAGTCTCTAGCTGCTGTGGTTGCAGTTGCTATGGTTTCATTCACTTGTTTGTTTTCCCCAGTGGCTGATCATATTGAATACTTTGGCTGTCTGGTGGATACTTGAAAAAAAATTTCTTTCTTTAAGGAGTCAAATGAGATCTTTTCTGGGAATGAACTGACAAAAAACATAAACCTCAGGAGAATCTTTGAACATACAACAGTAACTAATCAGTTGAGTATTTTGTGTGTTGTTAAACATGTCAGTACTGAGACCCTCATACATTGGTTAACAACTTTCTAAATATTTACCAAGATCTTTGATAAGTGAGAGCGCTTCCCATGATATAAAGGCTCCACCACCATCATCCATGGCACCCTGCCCAACGTCCCAGCTGTCCAGATGTCCGCTGACCAGTACAACCTGGAGTAAATAAAAAAAGAGAAAATAAATAAAACTAGGCAGAAATGACATCACAGAGGAAGAGTCATTTCCAAACACAGAAATGAAACTTGAATATTTTCTTTTCTATTTTTATGCCCTAAAGGATCTGTGTCATTACTAGTAGAAAACTTAGTATAGAGGCTTTACACATAAGGGTGTAAGGTCATGATAACAGTAATAAAAGTTCTCACCTTATGCTTTTCTTTATTAATATAATTTTGAATTATTAAAAAATGGTTTATTACTGACAGATGTTTCACAACTTTATTATGACATAAAAACGGAACTCAAAACGTCAACCATATTGTAAAGTGTCCCAAATTCTAGCAGACACATAATAAGCATATGTTGAATTGAATTCAAGTGGGAAAGTAAAAATAATTTATTTTTTAAAAATATGATTGTGCTTTGTGCATTGTAAGTCACTTTGGGTGTTGAATAAATAAATTACTGGAGTTACAAACCAGATTCTAATCAACAGAACTTATAAGAAATCTTTCAATTTACATTAGTCTGAAATAAATCTATAGATTATAAGTTTTAAATCATAATCAGTTTAAATACTTTTCAAGAATCATTACAAGTCTCTCCAGGAAATCATGAAAAATATTTTAACAGAACTAAATTTTATGGACATATTTTAAGCAAGCTTAAAACTAAGTAAAATAGGATATCCATAGTGAAGAATGTGTCCTCATCTCTATATCATACACTATATAAATATCAAGTCAGGTGAATTATAAATCTAAAGATGTTAGAGAAAAGCATATAACAGCTTTGTCAACTTAGAGTGGCAAATATTTCTTGAACTGGACACAAAAAGTACAAACCATAAAAGAAAATAATAAATTGGACTTTTAAAATATTAGGAATACTTGTTCATCAAAAGACCCCATTGCAAGAGTGAGAAGGCAACCCACAGGGGAGGAGAAAATATTTCCAATACATATATGCAACAAAGGCTCCATATCCAGATTATATAGAATTCCTATGAAACGGTAACAAAAAGAGAGTAATCTGATAAAAAATGGACAAAATACTTGAATAGACAATTCACAAAAATAAATATACAAGTTACTAATAATCATATGATAAGGTGCTCAGGTTCACTATCATCAAGGAAATATAAATTAAACCGCATTCAATACATATCCATTGTAATAGCAAAAAAAAAAAAAAAAAAAAAAAAAAATGCCAAATATTGGAGAGGAGGTAGAGCAACCGGAACCCACATACAATGCTGGTATAAGTACTTACAACCACTCTGCAAAAGTGGCTTATCTACTA